CCCACCCATCCCCAGTGCACGAATTTCGTGCACCGGGCCTCTAGTCTATATATAAAAGCCTAAGTGACTGTTACAACCGGTCGACCAAACAACCAGTTGACCAGTCGCTATGCTGTGCACTGACCACCAGGGGGGCAGACACTCAATGCAGGAACTTCCCCCTTGTGGTCAGTGTGCTCCCACAGCCAACCTCACGTGGTCCCTATTCTTGGCCAGCCGGCCGGCAGGCCCCGATCGGCCCCGATCAGGACTGGGAGAGGGACCCCACCTGTGTATGAATTCATGTACCTGGCCTCTAGTTAATAAATAATAATACAAAAAATAAATAGATAATACAAGAATAAACTCTGTTTCGCATACTCACAACTGTAAACCTAATTTTGCCCCACACTGTATATTAATACAAAGATAGCATAAATAAGTCATTTTGGAGAAACAGTAAAGGACTAAAGCTTTGAGGACTCCTGCCCCAGCCTGGCTGGATGTCAGAATGCTGCCCAGATACTCCACCCACGGCGTCAAAACCCAAACCCAGGGTTAGCAAAGCAAAAATAAGACTGTGGTTTGCATACTGTGTGCTTCAGTGTTTCAGAATAGCTAGTTAAAAGTTATTTTAATAAGCATCTAGAATCAAGCTTTTTCCTTTTTAACTTTTATGTTTTAACCTTAGATAATTCCAAATCATGAGGAAAATTATCAACAAAACATTACCAAGTTTATTTTGTTTTATTGAAGAAGAGGATTTTTACAACAACATTCTAGAATATGGTTCTTATCCCTTCTGACCTGTTCACTATTTTTTTTCAATCTTGCTTGCATAATTTTTAAAAGTTAAGTGGTAAGCTCCGTTGATATCCTCAGCTTCCCTATAATGAATCAAAATTTGATAATTAAAATATCAGTTATGCTTTTGCTTTACCTGGGTTGCTTTATAACACTGCTCTGCAGTACATTCTGCTTTGCTGGTTGGATTACTCAAAGCAAAAATAATAGGCCGTTCATTGAAGGCAGCCATGTCTTTGAGGATTTGTTCCGAGAATGCCCCACTAATTGCGGCAGCTCCTAAAATAGAAATGAGAAACCAGTGAATAGGACTATCATTGGTTAACGAATCCAAGAAGCCCATGCCCAAGCAACAATGAAAAGTCAGGTCGTTTTCTAACAGATGCTAAACAACTTTTGTATCAAAGTGACAAAAAAGATAAGTTTATTAATGTCAAATAGCCTTGAGGGTTATAAATCTACAAGTGTCTAAAAAATCACAACTATAACATTTGACTCATAATACATTGAGCTGGTGACTAATCACTAGGAATTTTGATTACAGGTATTTATAACAGGACATTAAAATGTGTCCAATATGACCCTGTCCGGGTAGTTCAGTTGGTTGCAGTGGTCGGCAAACTCATTAATTTAGTCAACAGAGCCAAATATCAACAGTTACAACGATTGAAATTTCTTTTGAGAGCCAAATTTTTTAAACTTAAACTATATAGGTAGGTACATTGTTATTAACTTAATTAGGGTACTCCTAAGGCTTCGGAAGAGCCACACTCAAGGGGCCAAAGAGCCGCATGTGGTTCTCGAGCCGCAGTTTGCCGACCACTGGTAGGGCATCGTCCCAATATGCCAAGGTTGCGGGTTTGATCCCCAGTCAGGGCACATACAAGAATCAAACAACACATAAATAAGTGGAACAAGACATCTCTCTTTCTCTCTCTCTCAAATCAATAAGTAAAAAATTTTAAAAATTTGTACAATATGTATTATATCTCTATAAGAAATACATGAGTATATTTCAGTCTCTAGGGCTATCAAGTAATTGTGTTTTATAAACCAATGCTAACATTTAAGACAATCATCCAATTTAATTAAAAACTGAAGTATGATGTGTTTCAAGTTTAACAAAGAATGAAGCAATTTGCATAATGGAAATGAAAAAAAAAGGCAATTCCTGATAGACGATATTTTATAAAAAACAACAATAAAGGCTTCCTACAGTTGCAGGCATGGAGTATTTGTTTTTATTATGGTTATCAACATTATTCTCAGTATTGTCATCTGCTTCATAAGAGCTTCTAGGAATGGAGTATGATACAAAGTAAGGGCTGACATTATATACACACAAAATAAGAGATTAAGTTTCATGGCTTTCTTTGCGTTTTTTTCAACCACATTAAACTTGGCCATAATAAACATTTCACAGTGCACATGCCATGTTAAACTACTGTGCTCAGTGCTATGAGCAATACAAAGATATGTGAAATATGGTCCCTGTCTTCAAGGAGGGTCTAGTTCAGTGTTTCTCAACTCTGGCAATAGTAACAGTTTGGGTTGGATAATTCCTTGTTGTGGGAGGCTTTCCTGTGCATTCCTAGTCTCTACTCACTAGATGTCAGTAGCCCTGACCCCACCCCCCATCTCCTCCCAGTTGTTACAACCAAAAGTATCTCCAGGCATTGTCAAATGCTTTCATGGGAGCCAACTCCATCCCATTGAGAGCCACTGTCTATGGGAGCAATCAAGCTTGGAAAAGTGCTGAATGTGCCAGGTACTAACAGGCTGACAGAGTTGGCAGAGGGGGCCGCACACTTCAACCGGGATCAGTAAGGTTAAGAAGACAGCATGAATTTACAAATATAGGTGTCCATGGGGTGCTTCGGTGAATGTATAATTTTGTTTGTCAATTCCAAAGGTTAGAATTTCAAAAAGCTAAACTATGCCTCATAAATCAGTAGTTAAGAAAAGGAATCAGGTGAAAATGGGGTCAGTTGGGGTTTATGTGAGAGAGGGAAAAGTTTACCTATGAGAGCAGTTGGTTTTATTTCTTGAACAATGTCTGCTAGGTTTTTCATTTCTTCATGTTCATGAGCAAATTCCTCTTTTTCTTTTGTTAAGGCAGCACGCCCCTAAGTAAAGCAAAGAGGAAGAAATGATAAATCTGCCAAACATATGGGAATCAAAGAAATTTCAGAATATTACCCATATTGCCAGTATTTATGCTTAACATTTTTATGTTACAGCTATTCTTAAACTTTCTTCTCCAATGATCAGAGTATCATTTCACTCATTCTTTTAAGAAATATTTATGTCTCAGACAATATTCTGGCAATGGGAATATAACAGTGAACTAAATAAAGTCTTTCCCTTATTTATCTAGTATTTAATATTAAAATTCCTAATCCTACAGACATCTGTGAGAAACTGACAATAACAAATGGTAATGCAAAATGTCATTTAAATAAAGATACTGTTACTAAACATTATTTGTTTTAATACAGCAGTGTCTCAGAATGTAGATCTGGCTTTATCTGTAGCACTACCAATTTATATACCACTGATTAAGAATGGAACTGATGCCATATTTATACCATAGTTTCATTTTCTGAATAAGTCTTAGCTTTATATGTGTTTATTTGCAATGTTTTGATTATGAATGTGCCATGTCTTGTCTAGAAAACATCTAATTATAATATTCCAGTTGCAAATATGTAAGATGTTGATTATATGATAAACCCCTGCCTAACTTTATTTATTTTTCTTTATTAAGGTATTACATATGTGTCCTTATCCCCCCATTGCCCCCTATCCCCCTACTCATACCCTCACCCCCCTGGTGCCAACCCCTGCCTAACTTTTTATGGTACTTTATGACTTATAAGTTGTTTTCACATATCTCATTTGATACCCTCAACAATTTTAAAAAGTAGAACAAGTATAATTAGAGTTATTTTGCAAAGAAAATAGAGGCTTTAGATGTTAAACAACTTGCCTAAGGGAGGTAATGGAATTCAGCCTTTCTAATAATACACACAAGTATAGCTTTGGAGAAAAAGGTTTACAAGCAGTATATAACAGATCATTTGCAAATTGTTAATCCTAAAGATAGTACACTTTTCTTGCTTAAAATGATAAAATGTAGGTTATCATTTTATTTGTGTGTTTTTTTAAAGTAATATATGTGAATTATAGATAGTTTGAAACTTGTTTCATCTGTAAAATAAGGACAGTAAGAAACCTCATCAGATTGTGGATTACATTAAATGATATATCTAGAGCATTTGGGACTGTGCCTGATTTTTTAAAAATATATTTTATTAATTTTTCACAGAGAGGAAGGTAGAGGGATAGAGAGTTAGAAACATCGATGAGAGAGAAACATCGATCAGCTGCCTCCTTCACACCCCCTACTGGGGATGTGCCCACAACCAAGGTACATGCCCTTGACCGGAATCAAACCTGGGACCCTTCAGTCCGCAGGCCGACGCTCTATCCACTGAGCCAAACCGGTTAGGGCTGTGCCTGATTTTTAACAGGAGTTGAATGTTAGTTATAATTAAAATTATTGTGAATAGGAAATAATTCTAGTGTTTATAATTTTGGTACATTTTCTTGTAGTCTACTGTAAAGTTCTATTTCTCTAGCACCATTTTCTATTATGAGCATGACATTAAAGCAAACAGCTTCCTAAGAGCAGAATTCACCATTAGTCATTTCTGGGTTCTAAAAGGTTATTATCTCAGCTTTTCTTTCTTGCACAACAAAATATACTACATCTGAGACATTGTGAAAAATAATCTTACTTAACACTAACTCAAAAGGATATATAAGACACGGAAACAACCTAAGAGTCCATTGTGGACTAATGGACAAGGGAAATATGGTATCTACTATGGAATATTACTCAGTCACAAAAAAAAGGAAAATTTGCCATTTGTGAACACAACAAAATATACTACATCTGAGACACTGTGAAAAATAATCTTACTTAACACTAACTCAAAAAGATATATAAGACACGGAAGCAACCTAAGAGTCCATTGATGGACTAATGGACAAGGGAAATATGGTATCTACTATGGAATATTACTCAGTCACAAAAAAAAGGAAAATTTGCCATTTGTGACAACATGTATGGACCTTGAGGGTATTATGCTAATTGAAACAAGTCAGACAGAAAAATACAAATACTGTATAATCTCACTTATACGTGGAATCTAAAAAACAAACAAAACTAAACTAAAAAGACAAACAAACAAACAAAAAACCCCACTGCCCTAGCTGGTTTGGCTCAGTGGATTATAGTGTCAGTTTGCAGACTGAAGGGTCCCAAGTTCGATTCCAGTCGAGGGCACATCTCCAGTAAGGGGCATGCAGGAGGCAGCTGATGGGTGATTCTCTCTCATCATTGATGTTTCTATCTCTCTCTCCCCCTCTCCCTTCTTCTCTGAAATCAATAAAAATGTATTTTACAAATAAAAAAAATAAAACCCTCTAATTCATAGATACAGAGAACAGATTGGTGGTTACCAAAGGTGGGGGGTAGGGAATGGGCAAAATGGGTAAAGGATGTAAAAAATTACAAACTTTCAATTATGAAATAATTAAGTCCTGGGAATATAACGTATAAATAGCATCATCGCGATCTAATCTAATAAAAGAGAAACATGCAAATTGACTGTACCTTCTCTATGCCTTAAGCCACGCCCACCAGCCACTCAGAGCGACAATATGCAAATTAACCCAACCAAGATGGCGGCCGGCAGCCAAGGAGCTGAAGCGAGCAGGAGGCTTGGTTGCTCCAGTGATGAAGGAAGCCAAGCTTCCCGACCGGCTCTGAGCTCCACTGAAGGCAACAAAGTTTCAATTATAGAAGGTAAATAAATCTCAGAATAAAAAAAAAAAGAAAAAAAGGAGAGGCTGGGAGCTTCCTTTACCAGGGGGCTTGGCCGGCCTGAAAACGGCCCTCAGCCCCTCACCCAGACTGCCCAGGCACCCCAGTGGGGACCCCCCCACCCTAAAGGGGGTGTGGACAGCCTGAAAACAGCCATCAGCCCCTCACCAAGCCTGGCCAAACCTCCATGGGGTGAGGGTCCCCACTGTGGTGGGGGGGGCTTGGCCAGCCTGCAAACAGCCATCAGCCCCTCACCCAGGCTGGCCAAGCATCCCAGTGGGGACTCCCACCCTGAAGGAGGTGTGACCAGCTGCAAACAGCCATCAGCCCCTCACCCAGGCTGGCCAAGCATCCCAGTGGGGACTCCCACCCTGAAGGAGGTGTGACCAGCTGCAAACAGCCATCAGCCCCTCACCCAGGCTGGCCAAGCATCCCAGTGGGGACTCCCACCCTGAAGGAGGTGTGACCAGCTGCAAACAGCCATCAGCCCCTCACCTAGGCTGGCCAGGCACCCCAGTGGGGACCCCCAGGACACACTTCAGGGCAAACCAGCCGGCCCCCACCCGTGCACCAGGCCTCTATCCTATATAATAAAAGGGTAATAAGCAAACTGACCCTAACAGCAGAAAGACTGGGAATGACTGGTCACTATGACACACTGACCACCAGGGGGCAGACGCTCAATGCAGGAGCTGCTCCCTGGTGGTCAGTGCGCTCCCACAGGGGAAGCTCTGCTCAGCCACAAGCCAGGCTGATGGCTGCCAGTACAGCGGTGGTGGTAGGAGCCTCTCCCGCCTCCTCAGCAGCGCTAAGGATGTCCGACTGCAGCTTAGGCCTGCTCCCTGCTGGCAAGTGGACATCCCCTGAGGGCTCCCGGGCTGCCAGAGTGATGTCTGACTGCCAGCTTAGGCCCAATTCCCCAGGGAGCGGGCCTAAACCAGCAGGTGGTCATCCCCCAAGGGGTCCCAGACTGCAAGAGGGCACAGGCCAGGTTGAGGTACCCCTCCCCCCGAGTGCACAAATTTTTGTGCACCGGGCCTCTAGTAGTTAATAATACCGTATTTTACACTTGAAAGTTGCTAAAAGAATAGATATTAACAAAAGTTCTCACCATAAGAAAAAATTTTTAACTGTGTGGTGATGGATGTTAGCCACATTATTGTGATGATCTTTTCACAATATAAACAAATACTGAAGCATTATGTTGTACACCTGAAACTAATATAATGTCATATGTCAATTATATCTCAATTTTTAAAAATATTTTTTAATTCATTCAGAGTAAAATTTGAAGCTCCTTGTTTCATATTTATTCCAGGAGAGAATGTTCTAGTTTCTAGTAATACTAAGTTGAATTTCATTAGTCCATATTCTGTTCATCATACTTATTACAAAAAATATAGTCAAAAGAATCATACAAATTCAGTTCCCACTTTCATCACAGCCTTTTTAGAATTAGTCATAAGTCTAACAACAAACAGTTATGTAAAGATGATCTGATTTTGTGAGTAAACACTATATATTCTCAAACAGTTCTTTTGTATTATTACAAGGAAATTTTACAATAATGAAATCTTACAATTATCACTAAATTGCAGTATTGAAGGTAGCCCCATACTCACCTGGTGTCCCCATCCCTCACCTTTCTTAGCTTCACTACTGGGAAATCTATTTCACTTACATATCTCAATCACAAATTAATTAAGTATAATCCTAAGATATGGCTAGACTTAACGATAATCTATTAGTCACAAATAAGAAAACAGAAGTATTTGGGTTGCTATAAAATTCCCCCCAGATATTTTGATAATTCAGACTCTGATTTAGGCCCAATTCCTCTTCATCCCTTTTCTGTGCCAATGTTCTTTGTAATGTACTTCATAGTTTCTTTCACCCAAGGCAGAGCACGCTTTCCTGCCCCCTTTGTCTTTGGATGTAAACATGTGGCTTGCTTTGATCAATAAAATATGAGCTGAAATGAAACAGCCAGTTCCAAGCTTAGGCCTTAAGAGGAACTGTTGGTACTACTTGCTCTCTTGTGCCTTTGCCATCCTTTTAAAAAGTGCATAACCTGCTTGCTTGCTGGTCCAAGGAGGATGACAGCTTTGTGAAGCAGACCCGGACCCAACTTGCAGCTTAGAGTCACCCAGCCAACATCCTCAGAGCTACCTTATCTGACTGACAGGTGTGTGAGAAATAAGTAATTATCACTATATGTCACTGAGATGCTGTGAC